CCAGTGTCCCGATTCTAAACCGCCGAACACAATTCGGATAACAAGTGCAGATGACCGGTGTCCCGACTCTAAACCGTCGAACACAACTCGGACAACAAGTGCACATGACCGGTATCCCGACTCTAAACCGCCGAACAAAACTCGGACAACAAATGCAGATGACCGCCGACCCAATTCGGACAACAAGTGCAGATGACCGGTGTCCCGACTCTAAACCGCCGAACACAACTCGGACAACAAGTGCACATGACCGGTGTCCCGACTCTAAACCGCCGAACACAATTCGGACACCAAGTGCAGATGACCGGTGTCCCGACTCTAAACCGACGAACACAACTCGGACAATAAGTGCAGATGACCGGTGTCCCGACTCTAAACCGCCGAACACAATTCAGACAACAAGTGCAGATGACCGGTGTCCCGACTCTAAACCGTCGAACACAACTCGGACGACAAGTGCAGATGGCCGGTGTCCCGACTCTAAACCACCGAACACAATTCGGACAACAAGTGCAGATGACCGGTGTCCCGACTCTAAACCGCCGAAAACAAAGTCATTGTTGGATTTTGGTGTGATTTACAGCGGTTTAGAGTCGAGACACTAATCCTTCACAATCTTTGCTTGACAAAAGGAAACAGACGTGTTCGAAAGCTCGCAAAGCTAGTCTGTCTTTAATTTTTATTTGTGTTCTAGTTCAGTGACTCTGACTTGGCCATAAAGTGAAGTGTTACATTCTTCTTCTTCTTCTTCTTCTTCTTCTGCTTCTTCTTCTTCTTCTTCTTCTTCTTCTTCTTCTTCTTCTTCTTCTTCTTCTTCTTCTTCTTCTTCTGCTTCTTCTTCTTCTTCTTCTTCTTCTTCTTCTTCTTCTTCTTCTTCTTCTTCTTCTTCTTCTTCTTCTTCCTCTTTTTCTTCTTTTTCTTCTTTTCCTTCTTTTTCTTCGAATCAGTGCCAAATATATATCGATATAATTATACATGTAGCCGTACCGCCTTCGATCCAATTATTTCCCTTTGTGAAATTAAAGTTTGGTAACAGGAGTAATTGTCGGCACGAGACTCGTTATCGACTATCTACTAACCGGGGCGTGAAATACGTTTTCCGATAAGCCGGATAAGAATGGAACAAAAATCAGTAAATTAAATACAAATGGTCCTATCTTTAACTTTAATTTTATTATCTATGTCTAGTCCTAGTGCACGCAGCGTTCTCTGACAGTGAGGCGCCGTTACTTATTCTTAATCTTTTGTCTAAAGACAATTATTTATACATTATATAAATGTATTTCCCTTGCAGAAAGTGTTATCAACTTGTTGGAAAGAATTAAAGTTATCGTGAAACATTGCGTATTAAAATAAAATTATCGATAAACTTTTTTAAGATTTTTCCGTACTTCGTAATCCGGAAGCGGGTTTTAAGATAAATTTTGATGTCGCTTCATCTGGCAACATTCAAATTTATCAGCCATAAAGAAAGCCACCAGTTTTAATTGGCAGTTAAAACCTCCAGTGGTGGGGTGATAAGGAGAAACAGCAGAAACACCAGACATAATTTAAGATTAACAAGTACCAAATATTTTAAATATATTACTTATTCTAAGATAAAAAAATAAATAAAAAAAAATCAAGTTAATTTTTCGTTTTCTTGTGTGCTTTGACTGATATAAGCGAAGGAGAATCATTCGTGGAGGAGCAGCCAATCAACGACACTTTGGCGTATCGTTTTCTATATCTTTATATAGAACGGTAATACAGTTAAACTGTGGTATACTTTTCTGTTAATTAGTTAATCCGTGAGAAAATACAACGTGTTTAATATCCTGTTCTGACCTTTTGTGTGACAACACCCGGTGTATTTTGGTATTTTACAAACAAGCCCCAAACAGGCGCGTAGTTGGGCTGCTTTGGATGTACATGCAGAAAGTCGCACCGAACGCCATTCTAGGGGGTACGGGGGCATGCCCCCCCCCCCCGATTTTTTTTAGATCTAGAAGCTCTGTCGTGCCATTTGGTGGCTTTTTAGATACATATTTGAGTGTTTTAATTTATTTTAGAGACAACTTTTTTTGGGTGATTCATTCACTTTATTATTAGAAAGCATCGCAAAAATTCAAATGCATTTCAAATGCGAAAGACAGCTCTCCTGGTTTTTTTCCGACAAAAATGTGTCGATTGTTTGAACTACCCGAAAATATCCTTTGCTTCATATCTCTTTCCTGATGAATCTGAATTAACTAGATATTTAAAATGTCGGAGCCAATATGAACAGATTAATTTCAGATTTTTTGCTGTTGTGTACCCCAAACCCTTTTTATATCATCAACATTTCTCAGGACATAAGATGACGGTAGCTCCTATATCGATGTTTAGATATATGTATACATATATATCCAGTAGCCCTACTGAAGATAGGCCTAGTACTACTCTAAAAAACATACTTTCGATGTTTAGATAAGGGACAAATGAAGGCCTATATAATGTCACAGATTAGCAAAAGCTACATGTACGTGGCTTTTTTTCTGACTTTTGAGGCTTTGCCTTTTTCATATTACATTTGCAGGCGAAGTGAATGTAAAACTCAGACGGATCCTATACGCGCATATATTCGCCCTAAAACCTACAACAATAATGGTGAAATCTTTTTACACAAAAATACATCCATTCCGGAAAAACAACTCGCCTCCGTTGACTTAGTTGTTTTTCATTACAATCGCTTGTTAAAATGTTGCCGTGTATGGAATTTGAACTCGTGACCCTTTTCCCTTCTTTTTGACAGGATATCGATACCACCTTCACTTTAGTAAGACGAATATCGGCCTCGCTTGTATTCACGATATCAGGGGTAACAACAATCAGACTGATCAGAACTGTGTTCGGTCGGTCCGGCATTACGGCCCAGCTAATACTAATAGCCGTTTTAGACTCGTCGATGCCTAAGTTAATGTCGCAAGAGGATGTTGTTTCAAGTGAACCTACAGCTGCTTGGAAGAAGTCATGTATCAACTTGTTCTTCGAAGATGATGCGGGTTTTTCGTTTGCCTTGCAGCCATGTTTCCGATGTTGACAACTTTTAAAATACTAATAATAAAATCGGCACCAGGTACCCTAGGTTGGAACTTCCGGATACGTACTGATTGTCGGCTGTCGATTATACAGTTAAATTTAATTTATTTTTCAATTCAACCACACATCATTTAATCACTTTTCCGAACTACAAAATAAATAAATAAATAAATAAAAATATAATAGTATATTTGAATTTTTGATGTGCATGCAATTGCTTATTTGCTTACGCGGCAGCTACGCGCCGGCAAAGCGATTCCATACATTCGGACATGGTCCATATGAGGCTCTGTACATGTTTAACACATAAAATACACAATAGATAAGGACAGTTCAATGTGTGCTTTGAAGAGAAAACATTTGAGTTTGAGGCAGTAACCTGCTTTGGGTTGGGGTATTTCATTTTAGAGATACCATTCGGAGACTGACAGACCTTACTGGCCATGTCATGCCAAACGTTCTACAGCTTTTCAGACACGTGACGGGCACGGCCTGTTGACAGGTCGTTATCTATGATAAACCCACGTGTCAGCACCCGCCATGAGCGCTCAGCTAGGTGCCACAACCACTTCCGGTCATTTTAGAATGATCTGTCGATTTCATTTTAGCTTTATCAGTTCCCAAATTTCTTTAATATCGCCTTTTACTAATAAGATTCAGATGTGGGACTTGAGAGATACTTAGCGTTGTCAGAGACAAAGTGGAAATGAAAATATGTAAATTCAACTTTAATGCATTTTTTATCCAAACAATGCACATTCATCAGATCGAACTACAAATCATATAGGCATTATTATATTTGCATCTCTCCCTTCTCCAGCTTAGTAAACCCAACTGCTTATAAATTAGCGTATACTCGCTGAAAAAAGGCTCGGCGGATTGATTATTGGGGCCGGGCGGTGGCCAAGAGGTTAAGCGTCTGACAATCTGTTACCACTAGCCCTCCACCACTGGGTCGCGGGTTCGAGACCTACGTGGGCAGTCGCCAGGTAGTGGCCTAAGTCATGATCAGTGGGTTTTTTTCCGGGAACCCCGCCTTTCCTCCACCACCAAATCCTGGCACGTCCTTCGTTAAAACTGCACTTATTTGATTTTCTGTTATATACAATACATTATATTTCCAATGCATAATCAGCAACGATTCGGAAACAAGTACTTAGTACTGATACGATGTCCTTATATGACCATAGCTGTTATTAGGACAGAAAACACAGACAAACCAAATACTTGTTTCAAATATGGCGCCGTTATTTGTTCGTTGCCAACTGCGTTCATACTACCGTACACGCCGTCCAAAATGAAGGTCAATCCTTATATGAAACTTAGACACGACACATTATAAACAATAATCAGTCCACACTAAAGCCGTTGATAGGACGTTAAACAATACTAGCCAAACCAAACAAACCAGCTTAAAACTGACAAAGTGTAGTAAACTACAGACATCGCTGTGACTTTATTGAAGTCGCGATGTCAACATACTTTCCTATATACATTTAATTATTCTACAATTAATTGTTTACAAATTTAAATTTAGAATATTCCGTCATAAGAGTAGAAAATGAACAAAGTTTGATGTTATCACGAGAAGCTGACCACTTAACCAATTAGAAGTCGTGTGTACGTTACTTGACCACTCACCCGGTAAGTACATACCATTGACGGTACTTCTTAGATGTCCTCAAATCCCATCTATCATATCAGTTATATCATACTATGCACATTCCCCGGGGTACCGGGCAGTGTGGCTACGTATTGTTCGTACTACCATAACAATGTCACTCGGAACGCCTCGACCGAATCAATTACCACGTGCACAATGGAGAAGATAATTGGTCGTCAACAATTGTGTTTATTTTCATTGTTGACCACTTTTATGTGATGGTATCTAGGCGTAGATGACCACTACAAATGGTATCACTGGACTGTGACAGCAACAACTGACCAAAGCTCGTCATTTTGAAAGTTCACCTGGACAATGTGGGTGCATACAACGTAAAACCAGAATTACAGGTAACGTATAATCTTTATGTCTCGGGTACAGATTGTGTATTCAGTTCGTTCCTGTATTTGTTCAAGCTATATTGGGTCCTAAACAAAGGTGTTAAAAAGTAATTTTACACGTTTTAGTCATTAGGGGTGGCATGTTTACCAAAAGTATATCTTAACCCCTAAAACGTGTAAAATTACTCTGTGAACATTTCAGTTTAGGTCCAAATATAGCTGTAACAAATTATCAGGTCCCTGTGCTCTTACTGTAAAACTAATTTTAGGGTATAGAAGTTTCACATTCCCATACCGATATAGATGACATTACATTTTGTACAGCTTTGTTTTATGTGATTGTGCTTAGCTACGAAAGGAAAGTGCAGGCCACTTTGTTAAAGAAAATTATGTCAAAGAAACGTTTGGAATGAAACACTTTAAGTCCTTTAAAATCTACTTACTGTATCCTGCGAAAATGTTTCTATTTTTCTGTTTTTCTTTAAACGATACTTAAGGTTTTTAACTGTTGTTCACCAGACAGACTACCTCTGCTTCTTAAGAAGTTGAAAGGATAAAAACCTTGCAATATCAAACGATAGAATATAACTTGTCGTTGTTTTCAGTTCTACATTAAATAACTTTGAATATTGCGTTATACTTCCGTAGGTATTGTTGTTATGACGTCATCCCTGCGTTATTTATCCGTTCCTTTTTCACAGATATGGCCATGTATCCTCCGAGTCGAGCTGCTCGCTTCTTCGTCGTGATTGGGTTTTCCTTTTTCGTTTTACTCCTCCATAGTATTGACAAGCGACAGACTTACGCTCGGCTCGAACTTATTCACGTCCATTCTGGCTGGCATCACAACGTTAACGCCGACTCTGACCAAGATACGAACAAGTCTTCACTCGAGCGAGGAGGGCAGGAGTTCACCAGGGTCCATGCTTGTGAGCAGTCGTACGGTGTTCAATTTCAGACAGATAGTGAATACGTTAGTCAGAAGATTTTTGAAAATCTAAATCTAAATTCTGAAAGTTTCGTCATTGAGGTTGGAGGATTTGAAGGAGATTGGATGTTAAGAATGTTCAAGCTTTATGAGATTGGATTTTATGCTGTGCTTGAACCAGTTTGGACATTTTTCAATATTCTAATGAGAGAATCAGACTATTTGCCACAAGGAAAAATCAAACCACTGAATATAGGTCTTGGAGCAAAGGACGACATTATTAATGTTAAAATGATAGACGATCGTACGAGTGTATATAATAGACAAACCGAAAGTAGGCAAAGTGAAAGTTGGCAAAGTGAAAGTAGAAATACCTCCGAACCAACGACGGACTTGTATATCGTCGGTGTTGAGAGGTTCTTTAGAGATATTGGTATCGGTATGAGTGATGACGGGTTCAAAGGTCATCTCGACTTACTTATATTAGACTGTGAAGGGTGTGAGTATGATGTGTTGGACTACTTGCTGAGAACGCCGAAGGTACTGCATTTCATCCATATTATTATGTTCCGATCACACAGGTTCAAAGGTCATGAACAGGAAATGATCCGCAAATATTGCACTTACCAAGAATTACTTCCCTTGACTCACGATCTTCGTTTCCAGCAGAAGTTTTCATGGGACGTCTGGACTCTCCGAAAAATGATGTAACCAAATTTACTGAATCCCAGAAGTACATTTTTTATTTATTTTTCCAATAACTGTTCAAATATTTGATTTAAATTATGTACTTAATATAACGGTGTAATAGAACCTTATTTATATAAAGTCGCCTTACAATTTTACAATTGTATATGCTTATGTTTGTATTTTACTTTGTTTTGATAAATAAAATCATTTGATAGATATACATCTTGAATAATCTTATTTACTCTTAATCATCTAACTCGCGCTAAAACAGACATTCTTGACGGTGCCCTGCTTCTAAAATCCCTCTCTGAAAAACAAAATCCAACCGCATGTTGTCATTGTTTAATGATATTTAACGCTGTCAGATTCGGCCGTACATGTTTTATACTATCAAGATTACCCTTTTTTCGCGGTGTGGTATCAACATTCCAGGACTCTTGTCCGGAGGTTTACATGTTTACTAGTCAGTACGAATGAGCAGCAGGCAGACGCTTAAACACATATAATTATTTATAAAAAAAAGGCGTAGAAATAATAACTACATTTTTTAATGATTGTGGCCACATCCCCGCAGATTCCTTCGAGGACAGAGGGTAATGCCTTCAACGTCAGAAGGGGGACAACTCGAATTTCCTACTAAATCATGATGACACAGTGACAATCGATGTGGCTACCTCCAATCAAAAAAGATTAAACTAATCAAGTTATTTCAGTCGAGTCCGTTGAATTAGCTCAAAAAAAATTGTCCGCGAAAATGCTTTTATTATTAATACAACGATTGACATTTTGCCCGCTCTGTTTATTCCTTTCCTTGTAATCCAAGGGTATATTTATTTACACATTATATTTTTGAAATTCAATATATTGCATCTTTATCATACGATTTAAAAAAAAAATGGTTCTAATTCATATGACTTAAACCCCCCGTAACTTGGACTCGGATTTATTTTATCTGTAGGCTCTCCTCTGTTGCCTGTCTGTGTCCTTTTTCTGTCTCATCTCTCTGTCGTGTATGTCTGTCTATCTGTCTGTCTGTCTGTCCTATGATTCCAGTGATTGACCTGAAACAACGGTAAAATGACCACACCCCGCCCAATGTTGTTCGGCCTCAACACAATAACACCTTCGCTAGGATACGAACTCCTGGACCCTCTGGTCAGCGACACCAGACTGAACATGTCCTGTATACATATAAAATGTTACATCTCGTAATATGCATGGAACATGTAATTTATTTACTAACTGGATTACAGAAAATTCAACAATACCTTTTTCTCATTATTCAAAAAGCTAATTCATCTTTTATCTGGGTCGAGATGATTGGTCAAATTAATCCGCTTATGAAATCATCCACGAACGCTGTAAGATCAAATAAGAAGCATTGTCTGCTGACTTATATCTACTTACGATTTTATTTCTGTAATTTAAAAACGATGAAGTGCATTAATCAGCGACGCACTAACGACTAGTTACACGGGGGTAGTAAGTGTGGCCTTGTTTACAACGCCTTTGTAAATCGGCCATAAAATCGGTTCAAACACATGCTCAACACACACAAATACTGTATTAATTTGCCAAAAAGCATCTTTAAGGCAGATTTTAAATGCTCGTTTTTTTTAAACAGGACTCAAAGCGTGCCTCTTAAGAAAGTTTGAAGTACGTATTAGTGTATTAAGTAGGCGTGGGTTTCCTCCCCACTCCCAATACAGCTGACTATACGGCAACAAGCGCCGTACCATACTACCATACATAGCACGGCGTTGTTTTCAGGTGAAATCCAACAACTTATGTCATAATCTATGTAAATTAGAAACAAACGTTTGATGGGAAAGTTTTCTTTTAATCTACTGCTATGTAAAATCGTTTTCCAGTACAAAAAAGGGCCAATAGGGTTGATCAGTTTTAACTTATTTGTTTGTTTGGGATTTAACGTTCTCACAACAGCCAGGGCCATATGAGGACGGGTGCCTAGGGAGCCACAACAGTCAGGGCTATATGAGGACGGGTGCCTAGGAAAACACAACAGCCGGGGTCATATGAGGACGGGTGCCTAGGAAGACACAACAGCCGGGGCCATATGAGGACGGGTGCCTAGGAAAACACAACAGCCGGGGTCATAGGAGGACGGGTGCCTAGGGAGACACAATAGCCAGGGTCATATGAGGACGGCTGCCTAGGGAGACACAACAGCCGGGGTCATATGAGGACGTGTGCCTAGGAAGACACAACAGCCAGGGTCATATGAGGACGGGTGCCTAGGGAGACACAATAGCCAAGGCCATATGAGGACGGGTGCCTAGGGAGACACAACAGCCAGGGCCATATGAGGACGGGTGGCTAGGGAGCCACAACAGCCAGGGCCATATGAGGACGCGTGCCTAGGAAGACACAACAGCCGGGGCCATATGAGGACGGGTGGCTAGGGAGACACAACAGCCAGGGCCATATGAGGACGCGTGCCTAGGAAGACACAACAGCCGGGGTTATATGAGGACGGGTGCCTAGAGAGCCACAACAGCCAGGGCCGTATTAGGAAGGGTGCCTAGGGAGCCACAACAGCCTTGGCCATATGAGTACTGGTTCCTAGGGAGACACAACAGCCCGGGTAATATGAGGACGCGTGCCTAGGAAGACACAACAGCCGGGGCCATATGAGGACGGGTGCATAGGGAGACACAACAACCAGGGCCATATGAGGACGCGTGCCTAGGGAGACACAACAACCAGGGCCATATGAGGACGCGTGCCTAGGAAGACACAACAGCCGGGGTTATATGAGGACGGGTGGCTAGGGAGACACAACAGCCAAGGCCATATGAGGACGGGTGCATAGGGAGACACAACAACCAGGGCCATATGAGGACGCGTGCCTAGGAAGACACAACAGCCGGGGCCATATGAGGACGGGTGCCTAGGAAGACACAACAGCCAGGGCCATATGAGAACGGTTGCCTAGGAAGACATGGCATGAAACAGAAAGGAAAAAAACCCAGGAAAGATAGAAAGGAACAATTATGTTATTCATTAATTGTCCTACAAGGATGTTCCATGAACTGTGCTAGCGAATTTCAATATGATATATGTAACTTCTTAGTTCTTTTTTCGCCGGCTATTTCCGTTTTGTACCGGTATGACGATTCAATTACTGGTCACTGGAAAAACCAACCGGTACTCTATGATTTTAGAGAACCAATTTGTATTATCCACCTATAGTTAAATAGGTGAATTGAATATACTTTCTGATAATTAATTATCAAATTAATGTTGTGAACACGTGTAATTACTCTATTTGGAAATTTATGTAGGATTTACTTTTCACTCAAACTATTAATGATTAATGTTATTCAAATAACCACTTAGATATTACATTGTATGTCCATGCTTCTATCAGAATCTGTTCAAACCGTACTGAGCTGACAGCAGAGGATTTTGTAAGTCCTTCGTAGAGTCAGAGTAAAATCTGTGTACTCCTGCTGGAAAGAACTTCCCTTTCAAACTCGTTATTTAACAACCAAAAGTATTTAAACAACAAATGCAGTTGACATAACTGCTATAACTTTCAACATCACAGGGATGTTGTATTGTTACCAAACAGTTATACTACAGATTAACGTAAGAAATACTAGCAGAGTACGTCTTTAAATAATCAAGTATTTCTATGATTATAGTATAAAATACAAACTAAAAATGGAAGGAGATAAGTGCAATGATTTCCCCTTTTTACTAATATCAATACTAAATAAAAAAAAACTATCGGTTTAGAAAATTACACGTACATATTTGAGTATAAGTACTGTACAGTAACATTTCTTTTTGCGTCTAGTTCGAATAGCGATTACCTTACATCTACTATTATTGTGTCCGAGTCCTCTATCAGCTCCACAGATGGCACCTAGCCTGTACAAATTCGGGGCAAAGAGTGTACCTGCTCTATTGCACAGCACGATCTTACATGTATCAGGCGACCAACGTGGAGGCGACTTATGTGGGAACCCCTGATTAATCGTATTCTGCTTAGAAACCATTATCCTCGTTCGCTTTTCTACACTCTTTTACATTCGTGTCTCACTATAGCTAGTAAACCTTTCGCTGACCTAAACAACCAATGAAGGTAGGAAGCAATCAGACCCATACAAAACTGATAATGTTATATAGAAATTATTAAAAAAAACATTTCTGTTATTAAAACAAGTCACTTACAAAATGCAACCAAACAAATGTAAACGATTTGTTTTGATGTGGTAAAAATACTTTTACATAGTGAAGTTGTTAAAATGGCATCAGTGGGCGACTTTACCTTTAATCAAGGACACATTTATGTTTCCGGTACTTTCTTTGTCTTAGCCGTTTAGAAAATGTAAATCCCTAACAGAAGCGAAGCAGATTCATATTTTCCAAATAGGTGTAGACATAATTCAGACGTAGGTATGCATACGCCTAAAGCTTATTACCGAAGTAGACCGTTCGGAACTCCTCGTTCTTTATTATGTAACATTGATAAGTGGGTGTGTGGCTGTCTTAAAATTCACTTTTCAGTTAAAAACTTGGAAACGATAAGGTCAATGACCAAGGTCAAAGTCAAGGTCACGAAAGTGACACGTGTGTACATATATCAGAACCAAATCCCTATCTAAAAGCTATTTCATGCCGAGATTGAAATCCGTTTAACTGAAGGAACAACAATAAATCGCACGTAAAAAGCAGAAACAAGTCTGAGGAAACCGCGGCAAATAAATCTGAAAAAAAAGGTTAAACAATAAATCTGTAAGGTGTGAAACAACGATTGGTGTCGAGTGCAAAAACTAATCATCAAAGTTAAACAGGCGCTTGGTTGTCGGATTTTTCAAATTCTAAAGATGTTGCTGTATATTACGTTGTGTCCATGGCATACATAGAACGCCTCGACGTCACACACACACAAAAACGACACACTGATAATAACAGGCGTCACTTACAGAGGGTCCGGTTCGTCTTTTCGTTTCCATTCTTTTCTTTCTATTCGGTATTGTATAGTATGTAGAGACGTAATATCCAAGTTTTTCATTTTAAAAACCTTTTTTAAATCAATCAGATTTAAAGGGAATTGGGCAACAGGCCTATACCAGTCCTCTATCTGGGGGTACAAACCATAGCAGATAATCATGGAACATAAGTAATAAATCTG